TCTATTGAGGGTAACCTCATCGAGACCGGAGGTCCATAGTCAAACACTAACTATAATGATCCCACCTGAAGACAATCATCATCCGACCGAGCATTACTATGAATGATCACTCCTGAATCATGCATCATCACAACTAATCAGACTATTTATTAATCAATCGTTACCTCAACGCCTATCAAGGCTGGTCACTCCCTATAAATGATTACAAACCTCAGAGCAACATACAATAAAGATCATTCCTATGAACCATGCTCCGAGAAGAACAACTCTAAATAAAGAACGCTTGAGCTGGGTAACGCCTAGTGTACTCTGCTGAAACACGCTCAGTACTGACCGAACGTAATCAAACTAACCTCAGGTACCACATAAGATCGGCGTGCTAACCCTCAGATCCACTACTCAAGATACAACTGTAATTATAACAGCGCTACCTGGAAATACATAACACCAAGAGGCGAACGGCACTATAAGAACGCTCGTACTACCTATAGATCCAACAAGTTATCCCGTCTCTCTCTCGAAGTATTCCAAATCCAACTTTATCTGCACTACCATCTCTCCTGTATCCGTACGACCATCACGGTTAGAAACCACAGCCACAACATGCAAGAATGAATAACCAGAATTATCACATTATAAACCATCCCTATACTATAATAATTACCATGAAAATCGACTCACATGACACGGCATACTAGTCTTTCAAAACTGTGTCGTGACTTGTAATCGGCGTCATAACCCTGCTCTCAAGAACAGGGACTGAGCGTCAGCCATCGCGACTTCAGACCTATCTCCCCGACTCCTCAAGGGACTAACGAGTTAAAAACACGATACACGCGTCAACGATGCATCACTATATCACCACGGCCGAAGTAAGTGGGCGAGGAAATTCACCTCCTCGCGAGAAGAAGGGATGACACTAGAATTCTTCTCCCGCGGTGAGGAACTAGCAAAATGCTAAAATAAGACGCCGAACTTACTAAGTCAATAACATAGTGTAGGGACCACCTCAACTGAATAAGTGCCAATCACGAAGTCAGACATATCTCATAAGATGTATAACTAGAATTATACGTGCTCAATCACGAGTCGTACATATTCGCAATAAGATGTATAACTGGACTATACGTGCTAATCACGATAAAGTCATACCATATTCTCCATATATGGCTAACTAAACCAATAGAAATAACGTGCTAATCCCGAAGTCATACTATTCTCAATAATATGTATAACTAAACCAATATTGATCAAGGAAAAGAAACCAAACAATTCTCAATGGTAGGCTGCCTTCAAAATACTCCAAAGGATTCGTGCCTTAGTACCGAGGACGCTATTTCTAACTCTGATGCGGTACTGAACGAACGTTCTGGGCTCAATCCTCATCAAAGGCCGAAGCTCCGCACTCCAGGACGACGCTCCGACCTCCAAGGACGAACGCTCACAGAACTAAGACGAACGACTCAAAAAACCAAGGAACGAAAGCTCTAAAACTATGGACGAACGTTCACCAATTCTAGGACGAACGCTCACCAACTCAAGGACGAACGCTCTCAAAGACAAGGACGAACGTCTAAGATCCATACCGAACACTTATAACCGAACGCTCTCTGATATCAAAAACCGAATGCTCCACACTCCAACACCGAAGAACGCTCACTTATTCTCCAAAAACCGAACGTCACTTATATCCAAAACCGAAGAAAAACGCTCAACTACCGAGCCGAACGCAAAGTCGATCAGCCGAACGCTAAAACCTTGGACGCTATCCTGATCATCACTGTTTGGACGAGCGCTTAAAGATCAAAATCCTTAAAGAACGGACGTTCGTTAACCCATAGAATGACCGAACGCTCATTATAACCTATGGACGTGCGTCTTGAGACCAATGCCGAACGTTCCAGAACGTCCCACGAAAATACTAAGTCACGGACGAACGCTCAATAATGCACTGTTTAACATACGATTAGGACGAGCGTTCCATGGATTATGACGAACGAACGCGGACGTTCGTTCAGAACCGAACGCTCAACAATTTGGACGAACGTCCAATTTCACCAGAATTGGACGAACGTTCAGAAGGACCGACCAATATTTGGTCGCGCACTGTTAGACGAACGTACAATTTTGACTTCCCAAAAATTGGACGAACGCGCATTCTGACCAGAAATTCTGCGAATCGCACCAGAGTCCAGAAGCCCAGGAAAAACCTCCATTTCATTCTTCTTTCCCCAGATTGCATCAAATCAGGATTATTTCAAAACAATTAATGAATAAATCAAAACTCCCGCCCTCTTGAAGACTTCCATGTAAGTTTTGGGATCAATCTCCTCCCAGACGTGCAGATCAAGATCTTGTAGGAACTTCAGCAGCTCTTCACTTCCTTTCCCAAATCTTGGCGCAAGAACTTCATCCTCACCAGATGCCCAACTCAGATCCTCCTCTAAGCCCCTTCTAAGGTTGGAACAGCTTCCCATGGGTGCTCGTTGGACAGGTTGGAAATGGGAGAGAAAGGTTCCCTCCCTGGCTGCTATATTCTCTCTCTCTTCTTTCTCCCTGCCAAAAATGAAAGTCCTCCCTGCTAAGTTCCCCGTAACACACCCCCAATATAATTACTTCCAAGATGAAACAAAGGGGGGTAACCACCAGTCCCCACATGCCCCAAAATACGGGGCTACATTCTCCCCAAACAACAAAATGTTCGTCCTCGAAAAGGAAGCTTATCGGAAAACTAGTCGAGGTAAGTTTCTCTCATCTCATCCTCTAACCTCCAGGTAGGGTTGCCTGTGATACCATTCAGATGACCTTAAATCGTTTAACAGTTCGTCCTCGATCCCTACTGGTTGCACTTCAAATGACAAATCCTTTCTGGCTTGCATACTCTCAACTTTAAACACTTACCTAAAATGATCTTCATGCTTTCGTGAAGGAGGAAATCAGAAACTTCTTCAGGAAAACATCTAAGAAGTCATTCACGACCGCAAAGTTTACACTCCGAGTTCTCCTGCACCGTAAGACTGACAACTGAGTCGCTTCCATGGGTGATAACAATAAGAAGCAACTATCATTTTCCTGGAGTCGTGCGTAAACATGATCGCAGAGACATTACCTTGATCTTCATCGTGTTGAAACCTTCCATCTTAGCCTTAATGATCAAACCTTTCTTATGCGGAAACTAACTAATCTTGAAACACCAAACTAAACTGACTCTGAATCATCCACTTACTGATACAACTTGAAATCATCTCTGCAAATTTTCCCAACTTAACTTAAGATCCTAACAATACTTCATTCTCTTTCATTAAAATCCCTCTGTCCTGCCTTATTGACTACCTCTCGAAATTTTGACGCTCTAATTCCTTCTTGATACTTATTTTCCCCTAGCTGTATAGAATTTCATTCCTTCTTAACTTAAATTTTAGGTCATCCACCATTTTCTTATTCAGATTCCAACCATCACTAATACCTAGGTTCATGTTACCAACTCTCACAGCGTCACCCCGTTTCTTGCCAACACGTCCTTTTCTTCTGACTGTTAACGTTACTGATATTCTAAACCCAACTCATTTCTAAAACCTGGTTTACAATCATATTTATCACGCTTCTTGTTTTTCCTTAATCTAGCCTCTGAAACTTCTTGGTTGCGAACGTACAAAAATGACCTTATGACTTGATTTTCTGGAAATTGTCCTCACTATAACCTTATCCTAAACTCCATATCTTCACTCGCCCTACGAAGCTTACTTTGTAGTTCTAACTCCTATCTTCGCGGCAAAGATCTTGTCTCAAAGGCGTAAACCATTATAATAAAGTTCAACTCCAGTTTGTCCTTGAATATGCATTCCTATATTATACGACACAAACGACTACCACAAAAAGCAAGAAAAGGACACGAATTCTACAGGAAACACCACTTAAAACTCTTAAACCTTTTATTAACTCGAACCTTCAGAATTTTCAAAAAGGCAAATCGTCTATGTAAAAGTCATGAGTGTGCACCCTCATTACGCTTATTCAAGACGTTTGCTGTTCTCAAAAATCGAGTTAGATACCCATCTTATATATAGACACGGAGGAAGGGGAAGAGGAAGTGGTAAATCAACCATTTACACTAAATTATTCACAGCGAAGGACACGGAAACCACCACACAGAGGTCCATCCTAAGGATGAACGGTATGATACCATTACTGTAACATCCCCAAAAATTCACCCCCCTAAAAATTAAAATTTAATTCAAACTTAACATGTTGTTTAATAATTACATAACATTCCGAACAGAAATTAAAAATCTATACATCAGTTTTAAGCTCAGACGCAATGCAAAGAGAACCTTAACAGTAACCTTAAAAATTGAATCCATGATATATAAGATATTTTGTTACTTAAACACCGATACACGTACCAACGAAAATAGATATATTATATATATAGATATAATATAAATATCTATATATATTATTCGTTTTGAAGCGCAGTACGGGCATTCAAACCCTAGCTGAAATATAATAATTGGTCATAAAAGCACACAATATAATAATTGGTCATAAAAGGACACCGGTATTCGAAAAACACACGGTTTAAGGTTTTCTAATTTTGGGAGAAACTTTTTCTTCGAAAATGTAAAACAAGGAGTTGAAGAAGGGAACGCTGATATTTATTGAAGATTAAAAAAATATACATGGGAATTAGAAAATAAAAGAAAATAAAAGAAAAGAGAGAAATTAAGTTGTTACATTGGATGTGTTTAGTTTTGGTTACCGTAAAAAACAGTGAAAAGAATGAAACATTTGATTGGAGAATTAAGAATGATGATGCTTGGGTCTAACTTCGATGCCTTCGACGACAAGTCCTCCCTTCAACTGGTAACCTTCCTCCATCAAACTCATCGTAACGTGTTCGTCATTTTCACCACTGAAGAACTCACCCACCTTGATTTCCATCCACCCATCTTCTCTTTTTGCTGCAACTCCCATAACTTCCTCTTCTTCCATCTTCAACACCCTCCCCTTCTTACCCTTTTTCTCATCTTTCTCGCACAGATAAACCTTCCCACTCTGCACTTTCTCCCCCACTGCAACACTCACCTCGCACGCCACCCGATCAAGACCGTACTCGCGGTGCGAAATTTTCATTATCAGATAAACCGCATACCACGTGTTTGGTGTTAGAATCCTCGTCCATATTTCCCCCCGAATTTCTAACCAGCTCACCATTCTCAGCTCTGCCACTTCTTTTAATCTGCATAATCATTAATCGTCCATTCTAATTAACATTCATCGTACCACACTTCATCTCCAAATTCCTCAATATCGTTCAAATTTGAAATGGTTGAATTAATTAATAAATTAATTACCTTGATTCTGGGACCGTTCTCCAGCACCAGTACAAGGGGTCACTGCTCCACGTTATCGACAATTGTCTAGCGGATTGGATGTACGATTTTTTACCTGAAGACTTCTCTAATTTGAAGCTCTGCATGTTGTAGAATGAGGAACATGAAAATATGAGTTAGTAATTTGTAGAAATGAAAAGAAGAATGAAAGGAATTGATTTTATTAGATAAGCATATGTACCATGTTGCCGCCATCTAGGAGAAGTGGATGACAGAGAGAACAGAAGAGGTGTTTGTAAGAAGAGGAATCAAGGGTGTGGGGATGAAGAACCCTTGATAGAATGCGACGATAATCAGAGGGACAGAAGCTTTGCCATAGGAGGTCAGAGTCAGCGGCTGAACGGAGGGTTGAAGACACCATTGAGAATCTACATGCGTCATGTGGAGATGTGTACGACAAGATCTTTGAAACACAATCATCCGGCAACGAATCCATGATGAATTTAGGAGAAAGGAAAAAATATCGAATGTATATAAAAGCGAAAGAGCGTGTCTTGTTTTTTATCTGACAGCCGCCAGCGTTCTGATTCTCGTGAACATGGGACGCTGAGCTTTCCCTGTTCTAAACTCAAGCAGTTTCACAGGTGTAACTTTGACCTTTCGTAAATGTGTAGCTGTCGACTTTCGGAGACATACTAGGCTTTCCAAATCGTGGTACTTATACTCATCCACCTTATCACATAACTTTCCCCACACCACCACAAATAATTTCTTAGGTTGTTTTTTAATATCAACATCTATTAATTAATGTAATCGAGCACGATCCAAACGAAAGCACGTACTAACAAACTTTTTATATTCATTGTTTATTGTTTTGGTGGGTGAAGAAACTCTGAATCTTGAAATATTTCCTTGGCGCGCTACTTTTTATCTTTTATATTTGCGGTGTGCAAAACTCAGACGGTATTATCTTTTGTTAACAGCCGGACAAATACGAAGGATGAGAATGACCCTCAACTAATCCGACCACTAGCTAGTGTCTTCTTGGATCATTGTCACAAAAAGAAACATTACTGGATTTTTCGTCATTATTTTAATTTCCCACATGACACAACTTTCGGATTTTTATTCTATCAAATTAAATAATCTTATATCACTTTCAGAGTTGAACATAAAATAGATAAAAAACCTTTTTTTAAACGTTTTGTAAAACTAAAATCGTAACGAATTTTTAATCTCTTAAAGCCTCCATTAATGATTAGCGGTAAGTAAATTTTAATGTATAATAACTTTAGTAAAAGTAGCTTTGTTGACATCTTTCTACCCAGTTGGCACATTTCACGCAAAAGTGAAATCAAACGAGACCTTTTATTTATGGAAAATGTTATTTGGACAACAAAAGTTTGACACAATTTTGACAACGGCGACGTGGCAGCTGTGCATTGGCTCAGTGAATTGAAAACAAACCAGAAAAAACCCAAAATACCCCTCACCCCGGTTCACTGAGCCAATGCACAGCTGCCACGTCGCCGTTGTCAAAATTGTGTCAAACTTTTGTTGTCCAAATAACATTTTCCATCCAATCGATTTTTTTTTGGCTCAGGGTTGTTTTGGGGGAACATTTTGTACCCATCGTTTTTCAATCTTTTGGAACTTGAGTTCAAAGTCATTCCTGCAAAACTTTGAAAAAACTGTGGTCTGTATAAAAAAGGAAACCTTTTTTTTCTACTACTTACTTAATTAATTTTTCTTTTTTCAAAATTGTTTTTAAATAATAGTTAAATATTCAGTTTAGTTTTTAAATTAGAAAAAGAAAAAATTGTTTAATTTAATTTGTTCTGAATAAAATTTTAATTCCGTTTCAAATAATTTATTTGAAATTATTTGTTGGTTGAGTAAACTTTTAACAAATAAAACAATGCAATTAATTTTTGTGCACTCAATATGTTTTAAAACATTATTTTACAAGAACATTATATCTTGTGCTTAACTTTTGTAGACTAATTCATATTAAACCTTAAAAGGGGAGTTAAATTTCCAAATGGTTGTTATATCATTCTTTTTTAATCGGCCCCCGTGAATTGATGTTATGGACAAAATTCAATGTCTTAGTCTTAATTAAATGAGTCATATTACTCAATATCTTAAACCAAAACCAAGTTGGCAGTTTACTCTTAATATAAAAAAATAAAATTAAAAAATAAAAAAGTTTTCTTTGGACGGATATAAAAATTTTTTTGCTTAAAACAGAGTATTATTAAAAATTCTTTTTCTTTCTTATATATGTGTGGCCGCTGTATATGAAATAAAGGA